CTGCTTTATTAGTTAGTTATATTTCTTCAGATATATAGATACTCTGGGGCATCTTCTGACATGGATGTTGGAGGAATTTGAAATGTGCAATCATGTAAAATTGTTTTTGTAACACACTTCAAAAAATAGACTGGAAAAATAATCTAAATGGACTTTTGGGAGCCACTTCAGATATGTTCTAAATACTGTATTTCAACACATATTGTATTTTTGGAATAAATGTACATACTGGAACAAATTATTTCAATTTGGCCATTTTGCTGCATTATGAATATAAGCTTTCTCCATTAACATATTTAATTAGGGTATGAATATACACTTGCATATAAATTCACCATGAGTTCATTTTCTTACTAAGTATTTTACTACATGTAATTACTTTTTCTACATAGCAACAGTACGGATGAAAGGAAACTACCTAGGAAAACCAGAGAACTACCTGAGTAAATTGTAACAGTATATGATTAGATTCTTATCCATTCAGCAAAGTGCCCACTGAGCCCAATAAGAGTCTTTCTCAAGTAAGAAATTCAGAACTATCCTGTTCTTCATTCGAGATGATAAAGATATAATTATTCTTTTTCCCAACTTTCCTATTTTGTTTCGTAGGGTAACATTCTCTCATTTTTGTGGTCATTTCTACTTAACTCCAGTGAAGACAGGCAGTGTCAGCAGAAATAAGAACTTTACAGCAAATGTTGATTTGTAGTCAGTATCAAAACTCTCATTGACTTCAATGGAAGCAGTGCTGGGCCATATATCCAAATAAATTGTTTCATGTTGTTGTTCAAACCTTTGCATTATACATACCTCTGAAAAGAACACGGACAGGATGACTAGGCTGATCCAGTGAATAATTCCTGCAAACTGGGATGCATTTGAAACTGCAATTAACACAATATAATGAAGCATCATTTTAGTAGCAGGCAGTAACTTGTACTTTTTAAATACTGAATGACAATTTATATCATCACAACTTACAACAACAAAGAGAAGCATTCTGTGGGAAACACAACAGAAATGTAACAAAGGGGACAAGATGTTATGGCCCTTTATCCCTTTTAGGATGCTCACTCAAAGCAGCTCCAGTCAGCAATGACTGGAAGTTTTTATCCAAAGGCTTGAGTTGCTTACTCATTTTAAATAAGCTATATCATTCACTGCTCCTATGCAATGATCACCAACAGCACTAAAAGGTTCATTAACTGAGAATCTCCAGGAAGAGAGGACATCATGGTTTTCTCTCTTTAAATTTGAATCACAACCACAGAAGGGTTACTGTACAGCAATTATATCGGTTTATGTGTAATTTCTGTCCATTGCCTGGATGTCAAGAGCTCTGTGTGCTTGGAAGTTTCTGCAGGATAAGTATCAAGCCCCAGGAACAGATGCAAAGAGCACCAAATGAAGCATGCCATTTTAACAATTAAAATGGACTAAAAGGAGGGGAAAAGTCCTCCTTTAAGGAGGACTTTGAGGAGTAGCACCAAAAGAGTTGCCCTCAGCTGTGATAACAGGTGTTTAGGAATTGACATGAATGAGTTTCTTGCAGAAAAAGTGCTGAGAATTTCAGCAGACTGCTTTAAAAACAGGGCTACTATTCTAATAGCAGCCTCTTGACAGTCAGGCCTCCAGCTGCCCCCTAGTGTAGAAGCAAAGATATAACATACTGTACTTGAAGCAAGACTTTCTTATGCTGTAGTACACCGCCACATCTTCGGCACCCTCCATGAGCTGGGCTTACTGGACGGCGTCATCGACCTGATGCGAGAGCTCTACCATGGATGCACCACAACCGTCTGCGCCACCGACGGAGAGACTGTGAAGATCCTCATCTGGTCAGCGGTGAGGCAGGGCTGCCCCCTCAGCTCCATCATCTTTAACCTGGCCATGGAACTGCTCCTTCGAGCCATGGCAGGCGGCCCCGGCGGGCTCGAACTGTACAGCCAGAAGTTGAGCATCCTGGCCTATGCCGACGACCTCATCCTCCTCGCCCCTGATGCCACCCAGCTGCAGCAGATGTTGGACGTGACGTCCGAGGCGGCCAGGTGGATGGGCCTGCGCTTCAACGTTGCCAAGTGCACCTCCCTGCACATTGACGGCAAGTAGAAAAGCCACGTCCTGGACTCCACTCTCACGATCCAGGGCCAGGCGATGAAGCACCTGCACAACGGCGAGGCCTACTGCCACCTGGGGACACCCATCAGCCACCAGGCCAAGCAGACGCCAGAGGAGACCAGCAACAGGATCGTGCAGGATGCCACAAGCTGGACTTAGTTTCATAGTTTCATAGTTTCTAGGGTCGGA